AATCGACAACCATTCATGTTTTGTTAAAGTTGAAATACAATTGGAGGTTTCAGATATCGTTTCGTTGGTTTCAAATTTGTTTAAAAATCACATAAAAATAGGTTGCACAAATGAATGTTTAATTAATCCTATTTAATTGAAACAAAGAAATTGTGTTTGTACAACCGTTCTCGCTTAAATAGGTAAAAGTAGTGGTTTCGAAATTTGAATTTTGTATTCTCTACAGCTCTCCTTCGTTTTGCGAGCAGAATTAGGAGCAAAAATGTATACAACCCTCGCGCTGAAGGATTCTTCAGCAAAGGCAGGGTGATTCGAGGATTGACCCTCGGATTTCAAGCAAGAAGTGGTTTTCGGGGTCGTAATACGCGGATCCCGAGAGGCATTACATTTTAAACGAACCGCTTAATGAAATCTGCACTCGAGAATTAGTAACTTCGTAACGATCTCCGCGAACTATGCCCCACGGTTTTCTTTCTCTCTTACGAGACTTTTTCTTCGTTCGAACCTCCCTCTCGTTTGCATATTTCTTCAATTATCATATTAATGTCCCCATTACCGAAAATTTAATATTGTCTGCATGAAATTTGCAACTGCGTCTCAACAACTCGGTAGCAAAATCATATCTTTATCGATTTTCCTATTCTGTTTTAATATCAAAGTCAACTTAAATTCCTACCCAACTGATTTAGATTCTTCGTAAACGATGGATTATTCAAGTAATGTAATATTAGAATATTTCGCAGATATTCGAACGCTACAAATAGCTACAAAATATTCATACACTCGAGTATATACAATAATGTCGAGTATTCAAATTATATTTATCTTTAATTTAAATAACCTCTAGTTTCCCTGAAGCTTTCATTATTCTATAAGTCGGTCCAAATCAGATTACAAGATTCATAATACTTTTTTCTCGACAAACAACTTGCAACCAATATGTGTCCAACACAGAAACAATGATATATAAATACAGATACGCCCGAAGAGAGTATTTTCTCTTCGCTTTTGTATATCTACCGTCCATGACACTTTTATATTAATTTACGTCTTCGCCTAGTCCCTGTGTTTCCTGACTCCTCGGTATCTCTCTTCATTTTCTAAAAGCTCGCTGGATCCCGCCCATGTTTTTCCCACTTGACATTAGTTTCCTTATTACCGCATAGATAACATGGCTTCTGCTGAAGGTGTTAGGACGACCCGGCCGCAATTGCGGTCTCCGCGTCGCCAAACGTTCTATGGCGGTATGTCAGGTCGGTATGCTAAACCACAAAATTCACTCTCTAAACCGCGGTACCTATACTTGAGGGCATACCATTACCATAGAGGGGGCAGGGAGGTTCGAAACGTTCAAATTCTTCAAATCCTTAGGAAATACGTGTGCGTGTGCACTGTAGAATTCCGGGAGCGATCACCAGAAACGAAATGCAGTAACGCCTTAATAAAACGCCGCCTTTCAACCTCGATAAAACGTGAACGATTATCCCCGCCACTATTTTATATATTCAGCACGAGATACATTATGCAATAAAGACGTTGAATGAAATAAAAAATAAATAAATGAGAATGCACGCGTTCCTATGTCTTATACATATACAGGGTGTTCGACCACACCTGGAAAGAATTTTAATGGGAGATTCTAGAGGCCAATATAATACGAAAATCAAGAATATCGATTTATTGATTGAGGCTTCGTTAAAAAGTTATTAAAAAATTTCAAATCAGTCACGGAAAAATTATTTTCGGTTGCTGGGGTCAATTACAATCATTTTTGGTGAATACACATACCCCCGAAATCCTATCCACTTTCGAGAAAAAAATTCGAGTTGGCATGAAACATTTTGACGAAAAAAAAATTTCAAATCGATCTAAAAAATTGTTTTCAGTTGCAGGGATCAAATACAATCATTTTTGGTCAATACACATAGCCGCGAAATCCTACGCATTTTCGAGAAAAAAATTCATTACCGAAAATATATAATGTCTGACCATCCATTGATATGTTTCCCTGATATTTTATGCGAATCTTTAAAACATCATAATTTCTGAACGGATTAAAGGATTTTAATGTTTAAAAAGGTAAACAACGCTTATTTTGGTGGAGAATATGTAGAAATTCTAACAATAATGAAAAAGTTGATCCTTGACCCCGCAAAATGAGAAAAACCCCATAAAAATGGTCCAATTTTCAAACAACTGTAACTGCTACAATAGTGAATATATTTGAATGAAACTTTTTTCTAAAGTAGAGCTCATGGGTACCTACAAAGGAGCATTAGACAACTTTTCTGTAGGGCGTCAAACAAAATTATTAAAATGAAAAACGAATTTTTAAGAAAAATCAACGAGGGGGTAGAATTAGGTAAAATTTTCAAATCATTCTGGAAAAATTATTTTCGGTTGCGGGGGTCAATTACAGTAAGTTTTGGTAAATAGACACTCCCTCGAAATCCTACGCAGTTTCGATACAAAATTTGTAGGTAGACAAATGTGTCGACAACATTAAAAAATTTCAAATCTTTCTGGAAAAATTATTTTGTGCTGCGGGGGTCAATTACAATAATTTTTGGTGAATACACATACCTCCGAGTTCCTACGTGCTTTTGAGAAAAAAATTTTTTACCGAAAATATACTGTGTGACCAGAAATGTTTGTATAACTTTTTAATGAAGTCTCAATTAACAAATTAGTATCCTTAATTTTCGTCTTATTTGGGCTTCTAGAATCTCCCCTTAAAATTTTTTCCAGGGATGGCCGAACACTCTGTTGAAAGTAAAGATTTCAGACAAAAATGGCAACACTTTTTAGAACCTAAACTTCGTAAATTTTGTTTCTGATAAAGAAATGAATAACTGGGAAATGAATATCGAACGGCACGGGGTAAAATTTAATAAAGAAAAGGTCTATTTATCGCCCCCACAACGCATACAAATCACGTTTCGTTGAAAATATATTGCGTACGGATTTTCACGGATGCATTGGATTAAATCTGCGCAATATAAGCCACGTTTATTACTGTATAAATGCAATGAAGTTACACGAGCATCGAATATCGATCGTTTCGAATAAACATGATCATCCAACGATTTAACAAATACGTACAATTTGTTTGATTAGAAGCCGTTTACGTTCGATAAAATGTTCAAATGATCAGCAGAGAATTCATGATTAAAGTTTCAATCAATCTTTATTAATTAACAAACGGCGTAATGTTTTGATGTTTGAATTCGCGGAAAGCATTTCTGAGGTTCGTTAGTATGATTCTGTAATTTTATGAAGCTTACCACGAGAACTGTGATTCTTGCGATTTTCAATATTACTGAAAATTGTCGTTTTAAATATTCAGTAAATTGCCTAACTATTGAGAAGTGCATCGAGTTTATAGTATTCATTTTATTAAGCAACGTTTAAAAAGATTCAAATCGTTAGAATAAATAATGTGCTTTAAATAGTTGTAACTAGGTTAATGTGATTTATATTGTTATAAACGGGTGGTTGGGGGAAAGTTTAGTGAGAAGAAGAAGGATCCACTTTAGTATACAGTATTACCTCGCCAATTGACCGAATTCTTCCCTCGATTATTGAAGCACAGTCATCTTCACTACTGTTACTATACCCCGTTCGCTCTCAATGTATCCTGCTCTCTTTGTTGGATGGTACATGCGTGAGTCGGACTTAATCCAAGGTAGTAAATGTCAATATAGTAGAACCTTGATTACTGCAGGAAAATGGATCTGAAAATCCCTGCAGTAAGGTAATCAATCCAATGAAAGAACCCCACTTTCACAATATATCTCCACTACCTATGGTGTACTAGTTACTTTCCCCTCTAATTTCACTCGTAGCTAACTGACCATCCCTTCTACTGACAATACAGTTTAACCAACGAATCCTTTGTGCAATAATCGAGACTCTACCATGAAAAAGTACTAATAATAAGCGTGTTAGACAACAATCAGAACCTTTTGTATCTTTGTATTCTTCTACATTCCTATCTTGACGTTTGTTTTTACTAACTTTTCATATCATACCTGAAGAGGTTTCAACACAACAGAACACTATGCAATAAAGACAATACTTCCATTTATATGTTTTATCTGAAAAGTCTACTGCTTGAAGGTATCAACAAAGAAAAATCTGATGCCGTATCGAACCTTAAAAAAAAGTGTTCTACTTGTAAGGCTAGGATTACTTTTCTTCCGTAATTGAACGGAAATGGTCTCGACTCGTAAGTTACCAAGGCAGTGCTGTACTTTATATCTAGCCCCTCGGAAAGTCCGGGATTTATAGCACGTTTATACCTCGGAAAGGGAGAGTTTCCACACCTATGTTTATATGACCCCTTTTCATCCTTAGTAAAATACGCTACCAAGGTGGGATCACCTGTTTCGGTGCCACCTTGTACACACACGCGTACACGTATTCAAACTCGTAACTATATTTAACATCGAACGATACAGTGAGCGAGCTGTAACCAAATTTTCTACTTGCAGAAGGTTTCCACAGTTGTTTAATATCGAATACAGCATTGACATGGCCTTTAGATGTTCGAAAATTCCAGATTACAATACCCGCGTATCTTCGAAGCCATTCTATGAATTACGTTGGTTGCAACAAATTCTAAATACGCCAATTACACCGGGATTCCAGGACGATAAAAGTAAATTCAAGTAACGAAGGCCCTCGAGTCGCGAGCCCTTACAATTAACTAGCTGTTTCGCTCTACACGGTAAAAATGCAAATTTCAAACTCGATTCATTCCCGACAGAATGCTCTCAGTTTACCTTAAACGCGTGCTAATTGTATACTAAAATCCTTGAACCAAAGGTAGCAAAAGGCTCGGGAGCGTGTTGTGAACCCCGGGAGTCGGCAGGCGCTAACAAGCTCAGTTATCCTTACACTCGTACGAACCCCTGTTTCCTGGTTTCGTGTATCCATAAAGGGCTAATGCAACGAGCGAGGAGAAATTCTTTTGAAGGAATAGAAAGCTGCATCCCTACCTGTTCTGTTGTTCGTCGACGGTGACAGACGGGAGGGTTGTTAGACGTTGGCCGAGGCAACGGGGTTGCTCGCCCCGTCGCGATGCTCACCGGCCCTCGAATCGCTCGAGAGCGGCCAGACCCTCTTTCGCGTCCTTTGATCTGCCAGCAACCCCCGAAACGAGCACTACGCCATGCTCCTCGGTCCTGTTCAGTTCTCCCCCCGCTTCCTCCTTCGGCCTACGCATGCCAAGTATTCTGAAACCACCAGAGACACTCGTTACGCCAAACCGTCCGACTCCAAACTCTATTTATTAAGCAAACTTGTCGATTGTATTTTTTCCATGTTAATTTTTGCTCGAGAAGAGCCTCTGTATCTTTAGTTATCCGCTAAAAAGGGTTCGAAATTTAGTTAGCGTTAAAAGAAACAGTTTTTGGGTTAATGTTAGCATAAATTGTTAATTTAGATCGAACCTGTTTGCCTTCCTGGAAATTCTACGTGGATATCATATCAATAATAATACGAACGGTAATTGCTAGTTCACGTTATTGCAGATTCCATTACCATTACGAGGGATCAGCTGGTTGTTAATATTAATTATACTAATAATACAAATTGTATATTTATGTTAACGTTTTCTGCTAATGATACCTTATGGGGGAGAATGTAATTATTTGTAATCAAGCGTGCAACGAGCTAACAACAAACAAAATAATTACTCGTGCTTGGACAGCAATTTAAATAACAAAATCTGTCAACGAAATAGAATACAAGCAATAAACATTACCTGTCATAAAATAAATGCTGGTATTGTAATTAAATATTTCATTTATGTGATTCCTGTTAGCTTGTATAATAATAAGTAATACGAAATGTACGAGCACAAATTAAATAAATTAACCTGCTTACTAACACTGTCCACTGATATTTAATTATACGAATCAAAAATCGATAGGAGACTCGAACCAAGCGTTTCAGATTTTCTTCTAATTTATCAAACAGGCTTAATCCACGCAGTATAATCATATCTCGACAATGATGAAATTCATTACTTCAGTTTTACAGCCTCGATATCTCTTCCACGACACGTTAATTATTCCTTTCGTCCTTGTTGCATCCCGCGAACCGGAAGCTCGTCAAGCAATAATAATTATTAACCTCTGTTTTGTGCTTCATTTCATCATCCTGTTAATATCCTCCTCGTTAATAGCCGCGGATGCCACATGGGTCTACCGCACAAGGCATCGGGACAGGATCGTAATAACTGTCAGGTGTTGAGACGTAATTACCAGGGCCCTGTGAAACCAACACCCGTCGCTCGTTTCGAGATGAAGATTTGTTTTGTTGCGCGCTGCGGATCGTGACGGCTGAAGTGACGGGGATCGCGTGCGTCGGAATATCATCCGGGACTCCGAAACACCGCGCGATGCCGTCAGAATTCTAAATATCGAAGCGTTATAAGCAGAAACTGCTCCTTAATTATGCCGCCCCCATTGCGTCGTGATTCCCGATTTTCGAAAAATCCCATCCGTCGGGTTCAGACTGCGGGTCGCTTGGGAAATTATCAATCCAGATACTTGGAGCGTCGCTCTTTCCATAATGACGAAAGTACTTTAAAATATTCAGCGTGGACTCTGCGATATCTATTATTTAAACATGCCTCGAACATGGTTATAATGTAAAAGTTAAAATCTGAGTAACATACGATTCAGCTATGACAAATTACGTGCGTATGAAAAATTAATAAAAGGATCTACAGTGGGTGTAAAAACTATTCGTACAAGTATAGTGGGTTATAAAAATGCTAATTACGTTATGTTCACACAACAAAATTTAAATCCTACATGTAATAAATTGTAACTGTACGAATACTTATTAAGCGTTCATTTCTATTATTTTGTTCATTTTTTTTATATTTATATAAGCATTATGAATATTTCTTTTGTTTATTTGATATTGTTGTTTTACAGACTTTGGAGAATACATGTAACATGTTTATTTAAAAAATATTATTATTCAGCATTTCAGTCGTAATCAGTCACTGTACGAATACTTTTTACACTGTAATTTATCCGATAGAACGCCTAAATGCAAATCATAGTGGTCGGTTGCGCTTCGAACGAACGGATATTGTATTCGTTTGGATTTAAAAATGAAATTTTAGCGTACCAGCAAAGCGTATCCACCGATTGCATATTTAATAGATTCGTATAAATCGCAAGAATTAAATTTTTCGTATTAACGCGATTTGCTTCGCTGTTGTCCCCGAAAGTTTCGCTGCGGCAGCGGCGATATCAGTTTTTAAGGGCTTAACACACATTGGCAACGCGCGCGTCCAGGCTTTCCCTCTGAAATTTGCCCGAATCGCCCCGATATTGAAATATCCAACGAAATTCGATTGAATTGCACACTGTAACCCCCGGCCATGCAGATTCGTTGATTACACTGAGATGGCTCCGGAGCTCCCGCGTCACCGACGGCCCGCAATTGCACGCACAAATATTGCAGTTCGTATTTTTTACGCCCGCTAGAAGAGAACGAATGACAGTAACAAATTGCATATTAATAACTATGCGAGCCGCGACGCGCGAAGCTGATGGGAAAGCGTCCATCCAAGTCAAAATACGCTGTTAGGGAATACATATGGCAGCTCGTCAAAGTCTGCTGTACAATATTTTTTAATAATTTTAACTGGAAGGTGAATAGTAACAATTTCAAAATAAAAATCTGACATGCACTTTCCTCTATAAATATTCGAATAGTGTATGCTAAAATAATGTAACTATTTTTTGATTAAAATAATATTCGTCGAATATTTTGTTGTCGTAGGGAAAGCAGAACGATATATACAATTTATAGGATGGATATACGTTCTCGTGACTGATGACAGTTCAATTTTTACGATAGTTGGAAGTAGCCCCAGATGTTGGATGATCCGTCGCGATATTCGAATAATATTTGCAGCATTATATATCGTTCCCACGGCTGAATGCAAACAAATAGCCAATTCGGCGCACGACGAATCGGCGTTCCGCATCGAACGTGTCCGTGGAAAATAAAACTGTTTACGTAATTTCCAGGGGACTGTAAAACGCGAGCTCGACTCGGATCGTATGCTTTATCGTTATAATTGTGATTTTGCAATGGAAACAATTAAAACGCCGCGCCCATACGCAGACAGATTTTGTAGATAAACGCGTGATTCATTGTGGATTGAAAGTGTACTGTGGTTTTCTGTTATTGAATACGGACCAAAAATACTAAACGTTGGCTTGAAATCGAGACGACGCAAATCTTAGAAGTTTACAGGAAATCGAATAATAGAAATATAGTGGATCGATTCTTTTCTATTCTAAAAATTAGACGAGGATCGTATTACAAAGTTTAGCGACAATAACACGAACTACGCTGTGTCTAATCGACTTTTAGACGCAACGTAGCAAAAGATGCGCAAGTATCGTGTTCGAGCAATGAACATCACAATCGAGACGACGCAAATCTTAGAAGTTTACAGGAAATCAAATAATAGGAATATAGTGGATCGATTCTCTTCTATTCTAAAAATAAGACGAGGATCGTTTTATAAAGTTTAGCGACAATAACACGAACTACGCTGTGTCTAATCGACTTTTATACGCAACGTAGCGAAAGGTGCGCAAGTATCGTGTTCGAGCATTGAACATAACTGGCACATAGTTAAATCCCCTGCTTCAACCTGTTATTCTTCCCAGCGATTATGCTCGGGGCAATTTGAAGGAAGAGGTGCCGAGCGTCAAACCATCATAGAAGTTTAAACGACTTCGAGCCTCCCTCGACCGTCTGGCCATCGGGCGACGCCGTCTTCCTCGTAACAACTCAGTTTGCAAAGTCGAGATGCCCGCCGATAAAAGTTACGTCGTTTAGCAACGTTCCCGGGCTGAAAGAAGACGCGACGTAGAACGAGGGGGCTGTTGGAGCCGCCAAACAGCCAGCTTTTCGTCCTGGCGATGCTGGCACCGGGGAAGAGAAATTGAGACAGATAAGTCTTCCGTTCTCCTCACATAACGGACCGTGGAATCGAGATAAATTTTTATATGTTGTTACTGCCTATCTCTCGCGAAGGTAGCGCCGGGGACTTAGAAAAATAGTCCCGTGGTGTGCCACGAGGTAAGGAGCTCGACATAGCAGTGGTTCGTGTTTTTATTGGAAACAAATCAGGACCACCAGATTTCAGGTTGAAACGAGTGAATTATTTGACTATTGGGCATCGTTTATAAAGAGTCCTAACTATTTATGAGCATCGAAGTTTGTATTGCACGTTGTTAAAATATGATACAGCGATTCCCAAATGTGTCGATATCTAAGTTATTCAATTCAAGCAGAGTGTATTTCCATATTATTCCCATTTATATACAGGCTGTTCGGAAACCTCTGGGAAAAATTTAACTGAGAGATTCTAGGGGCCAAAATAAGACGAAAATCAGGAATACCAATTTGTTGATTGAGGCTTCGTTAAAAAGTTATTAACCTTTAAATTTCCATACTGACCGGAAAATTTTTCGGCGAAATTACAAAATTTCAAATCATTCTGAAAAAATTATTTTTGCATGCGGGAGTCAATTACAATCATTTTTGGTCAATACACATATCCTCGAAATCCTACACACTTTCGAGAAAAAAATTCATTACCGAAAATATATAATGTCTGACTATATTTCCCTGATATTTCATGCGAATCTTTAAAACAGCATAACTTCTGAACGGATTGAAGGATTTTAATGTTTAAAAAGGCAAACAACGCGTATTTTAATGGAGAATATGTATACATTCAAAGAATATTGGAAAAGTTGTTCCTTGATCCCGTAAAGTGAGAAAAACCCCAAAAAAGTGGTCTAATTTTCAAACGGCCATAACTCCTATAATAGTCGATGAGTTTTATTGAAATTTAGTCCGGAAATAGAGTTTATGGATATCTACAAAAAAATATTAGACAACATTTTCGTACAGCGCCAACCAAATTTATTAAAAATGAGAAATGCATTTTTAAGAAAAATCGACAGGAGGTAGCTGCTGAAATTTTTCGGTTAAAAAAAAAATTCAAATAGTTCTAGAAAAATTATTTTCATTTCCGGAGGTCAATTACAATAATTTTTGGTGAACAGATATTCCTCCGAAATTCTACCCACTTTCGAGTAGGTGTGAAATTTTTCTGCGAAAAAAAACATTTCAAATTGTTCTAAAAAAATTATTTTCAATTGCAGGGGTTAGTTACAATACT